AGAACCCAGAATAAGTGTATATACTTTTGTGGGTCAACAACCAAAATTTCGATGTATTACACTTTTCAATTCACTTTCGTTTTCGCAATATATTTACTTTATTTGGTCTTAGCGTTCAATAATATTATTATTTTCATTATCGTCTTTTTCATGCTTTAAAACTTTCATTCTGCTTATTAACCTCCCCTGTTCTTTGGTAGTATTTGTAAATTAAAGTTCTTTTGTATTGATTTCCTGAAATACACGTGGATGTCGAAATGTCTCCCATAGCTGTAGTTTAATTTACGCACGACCACATATACACATACAGACATTATTCCTTAATCTATCCAATCATATTGTATTATTAGTTATCGATAAAAATTGCTTTTGGGTTTAACCAAAATGATCCTTATGTTTCGTTGTATATTCTTAGTGAAGAATAGGGCTGCACGAAGAATTTAATGCTTCAAGATCAAGTTTATCGTAGGTTTTCTGTAGGAAATTAATTTCTGCTATATAATTTTGGATCGGCCTAATATACACAATGTGTCTACACTCATTCGATATTTATTTAGACACACGCTCATTCTGTCTAATCAAATACTAGCCCATGTGTATTTGTCTTCTAACGTACATACATACATACATTTATATTTGCCGTTACAGTTATTGGATTATTGGCTGTAGCCAATGTTTGGTTAGTAACAAACTATTGGTATGTGTACGAAAATTATTATTTTCATTTTCAGTTTATTAATAATCATCTGAGCAATAAGTAAGTATTTCTAACTTCTCATTGTCTGGGTTTAGATTTGTTTTTATATGTTTGAAGTATAAGCTATTGGTTCATTTTTACTTCAACAATGGAAATAGGAATGTTGGAAACAAAAATTATCGCAGACATTAAGATTCTCCAGCAAATTTGTCACTGATATGAAGTAATAATTTATAGCTAAACTTTGACATACAATTTCTGCAGAAAATTTATCGCTTACAAATTATTGCCGACATAAATTACACAGGCTTATAAAATTAAAAAAAAATCGAAACCCAAAAACTAAAGTATATAGGATTGGGAAGCGCTGAATCCGATCTCGGCACACACTGTATCCCCCACATTAGGTTTTCCAGATATCATATCATAAATAAAATTTAAAACGTGTCAATTTAAAGTAATGTTTAGAACTGCTCCATCTTATAGAAAAGTATTATTTGGTATCTTGGTTAAAAGTTGGTTGGCCTGTGTTATCTGCTGAATAGCTGTTTAAAAAACACTAAATTCTTTTAGAAAATGTGCTAATGACACAAAGTTAGTTAGTTAGTTAGTTAGTTGGTTAGTTAGTTAGTTAGTCAGTTAGTTAGTTAGTTAGTTAGTTAGTTAGTTAGTTAGTTAGTTAGTTAGTTAGTTAGTTAGTTAGTTAGTTAGTTAGTTAGTTAGTTAGTTAGTTAGTTAGTAGTTAGTTAGTTAGTTAGTTAGTTAGTTAGTTAGTTAGTTAGTTAGTTAGTTAGTTAGTAGTTAGTTAGTTAGTAGTTAGTTAGTTAGTTAGTTAGTAGGTTAGTTAGTTAGTTAGTTAGTTAGTTAGTTAGTTAGTTAGTTAGTTAGTTAGTTAGTTAGTTAGTTAGTTAGTTAGTTAGTTAGTTAGTTAGTTAGTTAGTTAGTTAGTTAGTTAGTTAGTTAGTTAGTTAGTTAGTTAGTTAGTTAGTTAGTTAGTTAGTTAGTTAGTTAGTTAGTTAGTTAGTTAGTTTAGTTAGTTAGTTAGTTAGTTAGTTAGTTAGTTAGTTAGTTAGTTAGTTAGTTAGTTAGTTAGTTAGTTAGTTAGTAGTTAGTTAGTTAGTTAGTTAGTTAGTTAGTTAGTTAGTTAGTTAGTTAGTTAGTTAGTAGTTAGTTAGTTAGTTAGTTAGTTAGTTAGTTAGTTAGTTAGTTAGTTAGTTAGTAGTTAGTTAGTTAGTAGTTAGTTAGTTAGTTCGTTAGTAGTTAGTTAGTTAGTTAGTAGTTAGTTAGTTAGTTAGTTAGTTAGTTAGTTAGTTAGTTTAGTTAGTTAGTTAGTTGTTAGTTTTTAGTTAGTGTTAGTTAGTTAGTTAGTTAGTTAGTTAGTTAGTTAGTTAGTTAGTTAGTTAGTTAGTTAGTTAGTTAGTTAGTTAGTTAGTTTAGTTAGTTAGTTAGTTAGTTAGTTAGTTAGTTAGTTAGTTAGTTAGTTAGTTAGTTAGTTAGTTAGTTAGTTAGTTAGTTAGTTAGTTAGTTAGTTAGTTAGTTAGTTAGTTAGTAGTAGTTAGTTAGTTAGTTAGTTAGTTAGTTAGTTAGTTAGTAGTTAGTTAGTTAGTTAGTTAGTTAGTTAGTTAGTAGTTAGTTAGTTAGTTAGTTAGTTAGTTAGTTAGTTAGTTAGTTAGTTAGTTAGTTAGTTAGTTAGTTAGTTAGTTAGTTAGTTAGTTAGTTAGTTAGTTAGTTAGTTAGTTAGTTAGTTAGTTAGTTAGTTAGTTAGTTAGTTAGTTAGTTAGTTAGTTAGTTAGTTAGTTAGTTAGTTAGTTAGTAGTTAGTTAGTTAGTTAGTTAGTTAGTTAGTTAGTAAGTAAATACCCCTATTTGGACCTGTTTTGAAGAAAGTTTACGTATTTAAAATTCTGTTTAAATTTTTCTTCGCTACACTGTTTATTATATGGATTTTATAGTTATTATTGTCTTCATTGGTTTTGGGTCATTCTCTTGTACGAAGTTAATAAATTTTTAACTAATATTGACATAATAGATTTCTCCTGCTACTATGTACATTGTACATATGTATTTTTAGTTAGTATTTATGTAAGATTATTCCTTTACATTGTAATTGTGTCCTTTAGCAGACAATGTTGATTGATTGTGATCTAAGAAAGACAAGCCAGGCATAGTCAAGGGAAATGTCCAATAATTAAACACATTTTTTAACTTATAACAATATCTGCACCAACTTAAAGGTAAAAGCTAATAAATACTCAATACAACCAGACAGCTTACAATTGTGTAGTATTGTCAAGGATAAATAATTTTCTATGAAATTTACATGTAAAAATAATAAACACTAATGATGTAAAGAAACTAAATATTTTGTAATAAATACTATTATAATTTGCAATGTTTTTGTTTAGCATAATTATTATTTTTTGTGGAAATTATTTTGGTTATTAATGACTATAGTTTCCCTCACTTAACCAATTAATTATAGACGTCTGTCTATGATTTGAATTGTTATGAATAAAAAAAATGAAGATTATATAACTGTTACTTATTAAACACATTAGTCTAATGGAAGAAGTTTTTTCATTTTATTAATAATTATGGTGGATATCTATAACTGTCATAATTAATTAAAGACTACTTTTTTAATAAACATTATTAATAGTATATTTAATTAATCAAAATTTCATGGTGTTTACCAATTTTTAACATAATTGTATTTTTTTTATATATATTTATAAAAATTTTAGTAAAAGCTTTAATTAGTTTAATAAAAATGTTGATTATAATGGTTTCAGTACTTATTATGTCTAATTATTATCTTTTTCAGTTTTGGTTTTAATTGCAACACTAAGGGTAAGTTTTGTATGTTCATTAAATGTAAATTGAATTTCTAAATAAAATTGATCAAGTAGCAAATACCTAAAGTTTCTATAAAATATTTGTCGCTGTTATGATATTTCAACATAAAAAATTAACGTTGACAAACAATTTCTGTGAAAAAGCCATTTTAACATTTCAGGAAAAATTTATCACAGTAATAAATTTTATATGAAAATCCATTAGCTACTTATTCTATGAACTTCTATTGCCGACATACAATGTTGATGAAAATGTGTAATTGGTATCAAATTTCTACAAAAGATTATCTATCGATGTAAAATTCCATTTGAAAATTTTTATTGAAATATGTCACTGATACAAGAAGTCCAATAGCTAATTTTTTCAAAACTAAATATGCTTCATGCTGGAAACACATGAAATACAACTATCAAGTATAGGCCGGTTCTTCAAAGTCAATATTGGGACAACTCGACCGTATACAGGAGTTCGACCTTCACGTTCACTGAAGCAAAATACGAGTTTTCCTTGTAATGGTTTGTGCTACTCACTGGCTAATCGATTGCAAATGGGTGTGTTCTTAAAGAAAACCTGTACCCTTATTTCATATTATTACATTCCATAAAACAATGAAACTCACCATGTTGCAACAGTTCCCGATAAGCAATAGTTACCGATAATCACATTCACCCTTTAATTTAATAGAATTGAATAGAAAATATATATAACGAACAACAATTTTCTTTTTTGTTTAAAAACGAAACAAGTTTTTTCTATAAATCGACTTTATTTTAAAAATATTTTTTAAAATATTCCAACTTCTGCACAACCCCCATTGTATTACGTATACGTGATATGCATATGTGTATAAATTACATATTACTCATACGTTTAGTGAACTGGAAAAAAAGTCAGTTTTTTTGTTCGTTTAGTCTATTATTGGATAAGTGTAAGTTATTGTGATCTTTGACAGACATTTTAAATATTGATTTTTGTTAAACGTAGTAAGAAAAATGCGTGTGTGTATTTTACCTGTTTTATTACTAAAACGCTAAAGGTGAAAAAAATAAATAAATTTAAACCTTATAACCTACACGTGTGTAAAATGTAAAATAATATTTATTGTGTTTTATTTTCATTTCAAATACAAACCTCTCTGTTTTGTTTTTAAGTATTATTTTTCTTTCTTTTTAAAAATATTTAATATTTTATTTGTTTCTTTTTCTGCTTTATACACAACACTTACATATACATACATATACATATATTTTATTTATTTATTTTTGTATATTAAATTTAAACTTATTTATTAATCTTTAGTTTAGTTTCTGTTTTTCTTACATTACATTAACTTATTTATGACATAAAATTTTGTTGTTTAGTTTGTTTGTTTAAAATGCTATGATTGTTTTATTAAGTTTTCTTTTAAAATTTTATTGAAATTTTCTGCTTAAATTTAATGTAAAACTTAATAACACTGAATAGTTATATTTATTAAAAATTATAAAAAAAAATTGTTTAAGTAAAAATTATTGCCATTTGTTTACAATTTCGTTTAATATTTATTTGTTTAAAAACACTATACAATATGCAACTATTATGCAATACAATTATTCATTAATAATCATTTACAATTTTACAGTATTTTTTTACATAATGTGTTTAATAAAAATGGCATACTTTTAGGGTTTTGGCAAAATTCTTATGGGGTTTTTCTTTTACGAAGAGTCTTTTTTAGGTTTTATGTTAAATTTTTTGATGTGTTATTTTAAATTTTCATAAATTCTTCAAATATTGTAAAATTATATTTCTGTTTTAAAATATTGTTATTTATAGTATATTTGTTTTGAATATAATTTTTATTATTTAATATACAACCCTCTAATGCTTTTATTGAGACTATGTTTATTTGGTTATAAACAATTGAAAAAGAAGAGGTTTTGCTGATGAAAAACTATAAAAATACTAACATTTCTCATAAGAAGCTTTAAGCTTCTTTTGCAACATTTGCAAATAATGGTTATTTTACAATTGTTATTTACAAAAACTGTAACTAATGCTGTCCTGTTAATTAAGAAGATCCAAGAGATTTACCTTTTTATACCCTACACGACTATAGTGGGAAGGGTATTATTCGTTTGTGCTGATGTTTGTAACGCATTAAAATATTAGTACTTTACCCACCATAATGTATACCGATCGACTCAGAATCACTTTCTGAGTCGATTTAACGATGTCCGTCCGTCCGACCATCCATGTGTCAATGTAAACGTTGTTATCAATGTACAGTTCGTAATTTTCAATATACACCTTTGTTTTGACCCAAGGACGAAAGCTATTGAAAATGGTTCAAATCGGTCCATCATTTCACCTGGCCCTCATACAACTGAACCCCCCGAAAAGGGCTTTTGAGCTCATAATTATGTATAATATAAATGTATCTCGATGAAAGTTCGCACAACTAAGTTTTATACAAGCCTTGATGACGTTGCCGAATTTCGGACTTCATTTGACCCTAGCCCCCATACAAAGATAAATGCTTTATTATGAAAAATAAATCACATTTAGTATTAATAACTGGTGTAGGGTATCAGAGCAAAACCACTTCCTTCTTCAACCTGCCACCTATCGATATATTTTAATGGTAATAGGAGACTTGGGAGGTAAAAAAGAATGGGTAATATTTTAGATATAGGATTTAATTATTCAAACATCTAAAACGGCAAGAACGAATTTAAAGGCCCTTTACATGATCACACTTTACGTACCTAAATTCTAATGAAAATGAAAATGAAATTCGATCCGTACGACAAAAAAGAGAATAAAAGTCGTATGATTTATATTTTTTGTGTCTACACGATTAGTTTTAAACTATAACAAAGTAAGATGGAAACAGCTGAATTATTGCAAATAATTAAGAGAGTCACGCGACTGTCAAATTACCCATTCGTATTTTCTCTCAATATGTGATGGTTTCATTACATATTGCGTTTGGACGATCCCATCTGTACTCTTCTACACAAAATTTTGACAGATCATATTACTTGTGTGCTCGTGTAAAGGGGGCTTTACTCTATAGTGTGTTGCGCAATCCACTAAAAATTGGTATGTTCTTGAAAAACGATCTGTTTTTCAGAAAAACTGTTTCTTTTATAGTTAGTATTTAAAATCATCTATGCAGTCATCTATGCAGTCGCGAACATCATTCTGTGTTTTCATGTACAAAATATACATTTCTGATTTCTTAACACATATTATTTAAGAAGTTTGCTTCAAATGCATTCAGTACGACTGAAAAAAAAATATAGTATGTTGTGCATACAATCGACCACTAATGGGTGTGGTGTTTATAAACGATGAACCAATTCCATTATAATGTTTGTAAAACAAAGAAACACAACCTAAGCCAAGATGGTTCTTAAGTGAATCAATAAATTTGGATACTCTGCTATCACCAATAAGTGAAAACCATATTACTTACATATCCAGAACATCAAATTCTTCATCAAGATTTCATCAAGAAGTTTGTTTCACATGTGAATAGTACGACAAGTCCACTAGACGATCAAGTACTAATGGGAGTGTTCATGATGATAAACATGTTCCCTAATTTCAAAGTAACAAATTCTAACAAGCAATACATTGCAACAGTTTTCCAGGGAATCCATAGAGGGCAATACCTTACTATCTTCGATAAACATCTTCTTTAGAACGCGGAGGCGAACATCAGACTATATTATCTTAATCAAAAGATACATTTTTGTCTACTCTATATATGTAGATTAATTAGAAAGTTGTGGTAGACTAATAATTAAGTGTCAACTAAACTGGAAATGTTCTTCATAAAAAACAATTCCTAAAATTTATAACAGTTCCTAAAAGTATAAAGAAATAAAATACACCACAGTGAATCAATAAAATACCCTACTGTCAGCAATCAACACCTTTGCCCTTCTTAATATCATAATGTGTTCTCATGTCCAGAATCAAATTTGTGAGTTTATGCTTTACAATGAGAAATTAGCACGATTCTATTCGGAGATTGTCATTATTGTAAGAATAAAAAGAACAATTTCTGTTCCACCTGGAGAAGTATAGATAGAGTTGGCAGTTTGACATATTTTTAAAAGATTCCTTCTATAACAAACGTTCGAGAGAACGTTATTAAACAGCTTGCCATACTTTATCGAATGCCTTGGAATTTACAATCGTCCCCATTTTCCTTTTACGATTGAAATATGATGAATTGAACTACAATGTAGTGCTGTAATATTCTACTACTTTTGATTACTCAATACTACTCAATACTTTTCGTTTGGGTACTCAATACTACTCGATACTTTTAACGGTTTTATTTTAAATTAAAAACGAGGAATTTAATTAAGTTAAATCCATATACAAGTCTGAAAGTATTGAGTAACTACTTTTTATTATTGAGTACCCAAAAAATAGGGCAAATACTCGATACCCACTACTCAATACTTTAACAGCACTACTACAATGTCTTTCCGATAATAAGTTTCCAGTAGTACGTCTACCACGACAGATATCCGATCGATAAGTGAATGTGAGCATATTCATATAAAACATCTAAGAATTTGTAGTCGGGCATGGCCGACCATATGATACCCTACACAATTGAAAATTTTAAAAAATTTAATTATTCAGAAATATTTTAACAATTTGTCGACAAAAAGGTAGATTTTCTAAAAAAGGGGTTATATAGAGACATGGGCTTAATATGGTTATTAGTGTTTATATGTGAATTTTGACCATCAAGTCATTTTCTGAAGGGGATTTTATATTAGGGATTGGGTTAAGACTTTTTAGAGAGATCTTGTATCTTAATATTAAAATTAACATAATTATGAGCTCAAAAGCCGTAGTATGGGAGCTATGCGATATAATGGAACGATTTTAACCTTGGGTATAAAGAAGAGTTTGTGCCAAATTTCAGCAAAATATCTTGAAAATTGCTACATGTAGCGTGCGCACAAGATTTAAATGGACACACAGACGGACAGATGGACAAACGGACATAGCTAAATTGATGCAGAAAGTGATTCTGAGCCGTATACTTTAAGGGCATTTTTGGGTGTTACAAACATCAGAACAAACATATAATACCCTCCCCACTATAGTCGAGATTTCATTTACCTATCGCTGTCTTTTGAATCTCAGTGAGAGCAATGACTTCTTATGTATTTCGATACTGCTCTGTCAACATTTTAAAATATCGATAGAACTATCGATTGGCATAAGTCTGAACGATGTGAACATCAATTCAAACTAGATTATAAACTATGATGTCTTATATTTTCCCCTGTATTAAAGTTATCAATGGTTTATTAAACAGTTTTCCCATATAATTCCTATTATAAATCATCCAGTAAACAAAATTATTTCAAGCGGGGAAAAATTTCGTAACTTAAACATTACGCCCATTGAAGTTATTCTATGACAATAAATCATTGCGATGGGCATCCTTCCTGTGACAAGCAGGCTTTACTTTTGATGTACTTATTCATCGCTTGCATTTTTCTTCTTTTTTAAGTCAATTTTCGGTATCGTGTGGCTTAACACGTATTTTTTATTTATTAAAGAAAAGTAAGTGTATATTTTTTATCACATTTTACAAAAAAGAAAAATCTCCTTAACAAAGTAATATTTTCATTCAATTTACACTCGTCTAGAATAGCATGATTGATGACTGGTTTTTTGATTTCTTAATTTAGCATTCAAAAAAGAAATAAATTTAGATTTCAATCTGCATTACTGTAAACTTATATGAACAAAAATACAAAATTCATTATTCTTATCTTAAAAAAATATAAAAAAATATATGTACCTACATATATTCGAAAAAACTCTACCCAGCATTAGAGGGTTGTTAGTACATAATTTTACCTTTACAAAAACCACCACGACGGCCACTTTTATTTGCTGAATTATTGCGAGCCATCATCACACTCGCACTCATCTTTTCGCTCAACTCCCCTTTCACTGGCTTCACTTCCAACACCTTTTCATTGTTTGGCAGTGATGTTGTTGTTGTTGCTGTTTTGTGTTTCATTTTTGAGCTCTGTTGTTGTTGTTGTAGTGAAGCATTTTCATTACCCTCTTCCGCCTCAATGCCATCTCCATTAACATCACCGGTACCAATATCTCCACCTTCATCATTTATTATCATTAGTCAACTAAAGTCTGGACCATCACCTTCATCGGAACAACCCGAAATAGTTTTATGAAATGTAGCCGGTGCCATAAGGGCTCGTGCTGCAATCATTTGGAAATTTTCCGAGGCACGGAAACCACTGCGTGTACAAACACAGCGACAAACAATACGCTTAAAGGCAATACGGAATTCATGTGAAAATAAGGCGTAAATTAAAGGATTTATGGCCGAGTTGCAATAGCCGAGCCAGAAGAGCACAGAGAAGACGGTTGGTTGTATGCAGTGATCACAGAAGGCTCTTATTAAGTACATGGTAAAAAATGGCAACCAGCAGAAAATGAAACCACCCACTATAATGGCCAAAGTTTTGGCAGCCTTAGTTTCAACCTTAAAACGTTTCACTTGGAACTTGACCGATCTTTTGCCTCTATGCTTTTTATCCGACTTCTTAAGCAAACTATCGGTGTGGGATTCCATTAATTTATTTGAGTGTGAGGGAGTATTAGTGTCAACATGCTCGTTGTTGTCAACATTAAAGGTGGTCTCTCCAATTTCGAATAGACTACTCTTAAAGGAACTTCTACGACCATTGATCAGTGACGTGGATGCCGACTGTTGTGTGTTGGTGGCGGTGCTGCTCACCACTGAGGCATAAGCCGGCGGTGTACTATTGATGGAAGTGGTGGAATCCAACATATTTTCCGAGGATGGAAATGATACTTTTATGGAGACTTTTTCATGTTTTGTTCTAGGAACTCTCATTGAGGTGGCTCTCTTAGGAGTGGCACTCAGTTGATGTGGCACACTGGCATGATGATGTTGCAAAGGATACATTTCCTCATTGTTGCTATTCACACTCAACGTAGAAGACATGGAATGCACGGAGAGTGGAGTTCTTTGTGGCGTAGAACAGGGTCGACCACGATGTATGCGCAGCACCAGTTGTGTCTCATCTACTCGATTTGTACGTGACTCATGTGGACTGCCTGCAAATGTAAGTTTTTGTTTCGTTTTGTTGGTTTTGGTTTTTATTTCTTAGAAAAAATTTATATTTTTTTTGCGGAAGGGGGGACAAAAAAATGTATGTATGATGGCATTAACAAATTTTACCAAGACATAAAGAATTATATATATAAAGAAACGTTATTTATACAAACAAATTAGTGATTTAGTTGCGGACAAAAAAAATTTTGATGACACATTCGTTAAAGGGACATCCAAAAAAATTAGATTTATATATATTTAAGGAAGAAAAACGTTCTTAATTACAAAATGCATTAATTAAAAAAATGTGTGTTAGGAATTAAATATTACAGTTTAATGAATGTATTTTTATTTATATTTTATTATTAACAATATTTAAATAAAATTAGGTTATTTATGTAGGCAAATGCTATTGGTTTAATATTGTATATTATGTGTGTAATGATTAAATTTTCAATAGTATTTTTATACAAATACTGCTTATGTTAATGCGTAATGAGGCGTTTATTTAATTTTGATTTCAAAACTCACAACTTGGCCTTGAAATGTTCTTTAACAGAAAATAAATTGAAAATTTTTAAAATATCTTTATGTTATTCTTATTCATGAAATCATTAATCATTTTGATCATTAAAGGCGGAATGAATGAAAGTTAAATGTTTACCTTTCTCCTTTAGTAAATAACTTGTTATATGCTGGAATTCTTATATGGAGACTATTGTCCTACACCCACGAGAACAATAATTTAGTCAGAATTAACTATAAACATCTGCACAGTGCCACATTTAGAACATTCTGGCACTACCAAAAAGTCTAATTTTAGAAGTACGGGCATCTTATTAAATATACATACATATATGTTCATAATAAGATTTAGGACAACCTCAGCAAAAAAGGGGCGGTTATATCATGTCCACGACCACTTCGTATATTAATGCTAATTTAGGTATTCTGGAGTACAATAACAAGTCGTAACTTAATAATAGACAAACTCAATCAAACCTTATCAGATCAAAATGCTTTAAATAAGCAGCCGTAATTATAGTGAGGACACGCCTTAAGTATAGTCTGGCGTGACCGACCATATGATACCCTACACCAGTTATGAATATTAAATGTGATTTATTTTTTATAATAAAGCATTTATCTTTAATATTACCTTGTTCCAATACATTTAAGCAATTTGTGGATGAAAAACTAATTTTCTGAAAGAGGCTTAATATTTTTGTGAATTTAAAATTTTGTGAATTTATTTATATTTATATAATATTTATTTGTGCTGAATTTCATCGCGTTATTTGTGTTTATAAGTTAATTTTGGACTTTCAAGTAATTTTTTGAAGGGGGCTTTGGGTCAAATGATAAAACTTATTTTTGCCGCTTTTTATCGATATACAGGTATATTTAACATATTTATGAGCTCTGCTCAGAAACACTTTTCGGGGGGTTCTGTTTTATTGGGGCTAGGTGAAATAATGGACCGATTTTAATCATTTTCAGTAGACTTCGTCCTTGAGCGTGTGTGCCAAATTTCATCCAATTATCTTGAAAATTGCGACCTGCACCTTGCGCACAAGGACACTAAAGTGGTGTAGGGTATAAAAAATCCGTGTTAATTATACCCTACACCACCATAGTGGGGAGGGTATTATACGTTTGTGCTGATGTTTGTAACGTACACCTTAAAGTATACCGGTCGACTTAGAATCACTTTCTGAGTCGATTAAGTATCTCTACAAAAATCGGCAAAACTTAGTCCTATGTACATACGTCTTAATAATAATTCCGATTTTCGTAATTATAGGACTTTATTTGACCCTAGCCCCCATACAAAGTCCTCTTCAGAAAATGACTTGAAGGTCAATAATTCACTTATAAACACAAGTATCACAATGAAATAAAGTATACATAACTCTAATGTAAACGTTAAGCCATGTACCAAAATGTATAAGGATAGCCCCATATTTACCCCATATTTACCCTTGACCCCATATAGCCCCTCTTTTAGAAAATCACTTTTTTCAACAAATTGTTTAAATATTTCGGAATTAAGGTAAACAACTTAAATGCTTTATTATTAAAAATAATACACATTTTTAACATTCTCAATGGTGTAGGGTATCATATGGTCGGGCATACCCGACTATACTTTCCTACTTGTTTTACAAATTATTTTTTAAATGTATTAAAACTTATATCATAGCATTTACAACTTTAATAATAATAGTTGATAATTTTAAAGATTATAGCATATCGTTCAAAATTTTAAAAGTGGGCGTGGTCATTACAAATATTTCAGTTATATTTGTTAAGATTAATGCAGATTTTAATAACATTTAGTTTTAAACAATGTTGAAAAGAACATTTTCAAACAAGTAAATCAAAAGCAGTAAAAAAAGTAGACATGGTCATGATATTGCCGCCCACATTTTTTTAGGTTTATAATTAAGTTTTTGTCATAGCTTTTGAAACTCATATTAACTAGAAAAATATACATTTTTTTAGGTTTATAATTAAGTTTTTGTCATAGCTTTTGAAACTCATATTAACTAGAAAAATATTATTTTGAAAGTGGAACTTTAGAGTCAGATTTCTCCAAAAACAAACATGTTATCGTATTTTTCCGATGTTTTCATGCTACTGGAAGTCGTAGGTCACATGTACGCAAAAATCGGGAAAATCGAGCAGATTTCGGCAAATGAAAAATTTTAAGGACTAGTATATCAAGTAGTTTACAGATTAATCTATTGACTGGTCTATACGGCCTAGTTTATTGACTAATCAATAACGGTATTATTGACTAGTCTATGGAATAGTTTATTGGAAAAATTATGGACTGGTCTATTAACTAGTCTATGTGTTAACCTACTGACTAATGTATTGTTTAGTTAATTGGCTAGTATATTAACTAGTCTATTGACTAGTTTATTAACTAGTCTATTGACTAGTCTATGAACCTATCTATTGACTAATCTATGAAATATTGTATTGAATAATTTGTGCTTTATCCATGAGAACGGTAATTTATTTAGAATTGTTTTCTGAATCTTCTTCACGATGTTCGTCTGTCTGTTTTTTAAATCAAACTAGAGTTCATAGACTAGTCTATTGGCTGGTCTTTGAACGAATCTATTAAGTACTTATTTAAACAAATATATTGAATATTCTATTGTCTATTGACTAGTATATTTACTAGACTATGTTCTATGGATTAGTCTATGAAAAATTTATGGAAAAGTCTACAGAATAGTTTATGGAATTGTTTATTGAGTAGTCTGTGGATTAGTCATTAACCAGTCTTTGGACACTGATCGAAGTAACTGATTGGAGGAATTTGTAAAAACTATTTTAATTGATTTCTGTGTTTTGTATCTTATTGGAACAATGATTGCACACATTCCAATTATTTTATGTTAAAACCTAAAAATATATTTATTGCTAATATTTTTGCAAAAATCCTCTTCAGAGCCGTGTTCCACCAGTTAACGTAGTCGTGTCGATGATTTAAAAAGATTTTTAATAGGAGATAGATTGCAGGCATGGGGGGTAATGATTACATTTTAAGTAATTGTAATTGAAGTTTTACCAATTACAATTACTTGTAATTGTAATTGAAGTTTTGTACATTACAATTATTTGTGATTGTTATTGAAGTTTTGACAATTACTATTACTTGGTAATCGAAATTTTGCCAACTACATTTGCAATTACATTTGAAGTAATTGTAATTGAAGTTTTTACCAATTAAAATTAATTGTAATTGTAATTGAAGTTTTGACTATAACAATTACTTGTAATAGTAATTGAAGTTTTGCCAAATACAATTACTTGTAATTGTAATTGAAGAATTTCCAATTACAATTACTTGTAATTTTGAACTTTGTTCCTTATAATTACATGTAATTTGTAATTAGTAATACCTAATTTACAATAACAAGTAATTTTAATTGGAAATAATTTTAATTACAAGTAATTGTAATTGGAAAAACTTCAATTACAAGTATTTGTAATTGGTTATTGCTCAATTACACATTACAAGTAAATGTAATTGATCATATAATGAATTACTTTGTGTAATCATTACCCCCCATGCCTGATAGATAGATCCTTTTTTTGGAAGGAAAAGTGTGATGTGGTTTGCAATCTAAATGAAATTACAGAGAATTAAGGAACTGAAAATGTAGGATCTACTCGACATTTTCGAATATTATAAAAGGATCGACGGTTTAAACGTTGGACTTTTATCATATGGGCTTTAAGGCGTTTTCAATAAACATATATAGCTAGATTTTTAAGGATCTTAAAAAGACCCAGAATATATGTATAAATTATTATTTATCAACCAATAGCAAATACCTTTTCTAAAAAAATTCAAATATATCTCTTTTTCAAATTTTAAGACTAAATTTATAATATTTTTTCAATAATTAGAAAATATAAGAAAAAATTAATAAACAGAGATAAAATGTTGCATAAAATAAGGGGATTAGTTGTAAAAACCGTAAAAATTCCTTTTTATTGTTTTGCTCTTAAATTTGCACAATTTAGTTAAAAGATTAATAAAACGCTTAATTTAATCAATTTTTAAATTGTTATTAACAAACATAAAATACAGCACTTTTTCAGCCAATTTAACATATTAACAAAAACACATAAAAATAAATTTATTTTTCACATTTATTAGAATTTAGACTTGAAAAAATTTAACTTATTCCTAATGGTAAAAAGAAAGAAGAATTAACAAACAATTTTAGACAAACACACACACACAAAAATATTGACCAAAAAATACAACAACATTTAGATTTTGAGAAAAGAAAAACAAATGGAAAAATTTTAAATTCTTTTGTCTAACAAAAAAGATTTATTTAAGAAAAAAGAATTAAATAAAAACACAATTAGATTTTGAGACTAAAATGAAAATTGATTTTTTATTGAACTGAAAGAAAAAAAAATATATATAAAAAACAAGAAAGAAAATTAAATTTATTCGTTTAAAAAA